ATATATATACACACACATACGTGACATGCCTTAATATAGTCATGATGACATCACATCATGGCATATACAAGCACATCATCACAAAAATATGAACAATGTAATATCATTATCATCATCATCATCCATTATTATTATTATTATTATTATTATTATTATTGTTATCAAATTTTCTTTGACTAAAAACAGTTGTATGCCCATATAGCCATTATGTGCCTATATATGGTCATGATTGATGTCATCATGACCATATTTGGGCATGTCACAAGACATTGATAGTTTGGACAGGACGGGAATATAGATTAATACTTACAATGTTGCCAGGATCATCGATTGATATTGACCTGCTGGTATTCCTATCTGGCATTTCATCATCGCTGCTCAGCAAGTCACTCAATCCATCACTACTGCTGCTTCCCTAGAGAAACAATTAGTCAATGTTACAGGAAAAAATTATAATCATGATAATAACAATAATAATAATAATAATAATAATAATAGATGACGATGATGATGATAATGATATTACGTTGTTCATATTTTTGTCATGATGTGCAACAACAAATCAAAATGTCAAACAAATCAAAACAAATCAAAATGGAACAAATTGGTATAGAGACCAGAATAGATGAACTTTAGAAAAGTGTGATTCTGAACACGGCAAGGATTCTCAGGAAGATCCTAGATGTTTGAGGAGACTTGTTGTCACCAAGCTTCAGGAATAATGTAATTCCATTGGATATTGATTCATTGAAATTTTAATGTGTGCAGGGAGTGAATTCCAAAGCGTAGATGCAGCAAAAGAAAAAGATTTATGGCGAATAGTTTTTAAGGATGTGCGGGGAACTGAGAGCCAAAAATTATCAGATGATCTTAAGATGCGTCCAGGAAGATATTTTAATAACGGCAATGATAAATACTGATGATGATGATAAATAATATGTTTATTTGAATTTGAAATTCGAAAAAATAATGATGATGACAATGCTGATAGTGATAATGATAATAATAGTGATGATGATGTTGATGATGATGCTGATGCTAAAGATGATGATGATGATGGCTATGAAATTTATAAATGTTTTTAACAAAACTATAACATTTATTTACAAAATTGGTAAGTCATTTTAAAAATAATAAATAAAATTACACAATTAAAACAGGAGCAGAAACTTACTTGAAATAGAATGTTTAATAAGCCGATTCATAGTTTGAACTGCGCATGCTCATATCTAAGGTCAATCAATATAAGGTTATGTTGTGTGTGTGTTTGTTTATGTCGATTGACCTTCACATGGGCATGCGTACTTCAAACTATGAATTACCTTACTTAATATGCAAAATATACTCACAGGATGTTTGTAAAATAATTCCTCGAGAATGGCCTCATCATGGACTGGGTCACTGAGGTCACTCATTACATCCTCATCACTGTTGGATGATAAACTGACTACACTAACATCATCCTGTAAATTATATATACAATACTGTATACTAAAGCCTTGTTAAAATTATCATATATAATTTGACTAAAAAATGTGACTAAATATGATCATGATGACATCAAATCAGGACAGTTTATACTTCAATTAAACTTCACTAAAGAGCAGCTTAGCTCAGTTGGCTAATCTGGTGGTAGCTGCTGTGTGTGTGCTGAACCGTGGAGATCCCTAGGTCCCCGGTTCAATTTCCATTGCTGCCTCTCCTTCTGTTTCAGCTACAAGGCTGAAATACATGTTACAATAGCGCACCGTCTTTCGGATGAGACGTTTAAGCCATTGGTCCTGTGTGCATTATGGCCCATGTGCACGTTAAAGAACGCAGTACACTCTTCGGAAAAGAGTAGTGGATTGTCTCCCGGTGTACTGCCCAATCATCACCACAAGGACCCCACTGGAAATAAGTATTCTTCTAGACTTTCGTGGGCTATCCTTCGTGTTTACAATGAATAAATCCAAATCCAAATACACTCATCAATTCAATCAAATAAACATAACGAAAGAATGAATGAACAAGTGATTGAATAAATGAATGAATGAATGAATGAATGAATGAATGAATGAATGAATGAATGAACGAACGAATGAACGAATGAATCATTATATAGCGCAATACCTGAAATTTTTGGAGAACTTTGAACTTTTCACGTGGGAACTTGTCACCAAGTACCAACTCCACTGTCCTGGTTTCTAGGTCATTTAATTGGCTGGATTCCTCATCAGAGTTAAGGTTCAATATATCTTGACCCTTTATGCTGTTGCTTACTTGATTTGTTTTGCTTGTGGTATCTACTTGTAGGATTTCTTGTAGCAACTCACCAGATCTCGGTCTACAAAAGCAATTATTTATTAAAACATTCATTTTGGTACTGTTATGAGTATACTACCTGTATGTGGAATACCTCGTAAATATGTTTTATAAAAAGTACAAATTATTAATTATATGTAGAATTCACAGAAATTTATGAAAAAAAAATTGTCATTTAAATTTTAAGTATATGCTTCAGTTTTCAGTTCAGTTCAGTTTCAGTTTTATTGTTTCACACAATGAACATGAACAAGATATAACATTCAATGGTTTTGATTTATTAACTTAAGATAACAATAATATTATCAAAATAGAATTTCATAGTATGGATAAGAATATAAAATGAAATACTGTAGATGCAGTGAATATTCATTGTGTGTGGAGGAAACAATAAGCCAGAAAGGCTTCAAGTCTGATCCTCCAATTAAACATATACTGAATTAGTAAATGGCTAGCGATAAAGTAAGTAATAAAAAAACAAACAAAAAAATAGTAATAAAAGATAATAAAGGTAGAGAAATGTTGCTGGATGTAACATGTAAAATATATTGAGTAATAATCAGGAAGAAAAGAATAAAATGAAGAGGATGGTATTTCTAATATTTATCCACAATTTAATAGGATAAACGAAAAACTAAGATGCATACTTATCTATCAAAGATTGTTTATATTTTCTTTTAAAAGATTTTAAGGTGTGTGTTAATTTAAGTTTAAAAAGTAAATTGTTCCATATGTATGGCCCATTATAAATAAAAGATGTCCTTCAAAGTAGTGTGGCTATCATAATTAAAACTTATGACAGTTGAAGACCTGGTATCATATGAATGGTATTGGCAGAAGTTTGTGAAAAATGTATGAAAATGAGAGGGGAGTTGATTGTTGTTTAATCGAAACATTAACAAGACTGTTTGAAGCTTGTTAAGATCAAAGATATTTAAAATATTAAGAGAATAAAATAAAAGTTTGGGGTGAGATCTGGGGGGGGGGGGGGCCCTCTTA